CCACCTGGGAGCTGTTAATATATACGAGTGCCTGAGCCCATCCCAAGAAACAATGGTTTGAGTTAAGGCCCCACCGTCATTATTATTTTAAAGCTCTTCTGTCAGTTCTTTTGTGCGAGCGGTATTGAGAACCACAGCCATTTGGATACCAGACAGAACTAAGTTCCTACATGTGACACCACTGCTGGGTGAAGAGGACTAGAACTAAAGGGTAGCGCTGTTCTGACAACTCTGCTACCAGCAAAATCATCCTCTATTCTACTGTTGGAGCTGAACTGGTTAAACATTCTCCGCCTCCTTCTGCAAGTCTTTCCTTTCTTCTTCCTCCCCCGTCTCCTCCTCCTTATTCTTTCCTCCTTTGAGACATTTCTGCCTCAAATCTGCCACAAATCTCTGGGCCTACAGATATCTCCTTCCCATCTTGATTATGTGCTCTGTGAGGTAGAATACAGCCTATATATAAATGAGACCCTCAAATAGTGAGGCCTTCCCTACAGGGACTAGCTTTGCAAAGGAAGTGACAGGCAGTGAAGCAGAGAGCAGAGATTTATTTTCAGCTGAGAACCAAAATATGTGTTTGGCAAACTGTAACCTTTCTCTGGCTGTGGATCTAAAAGACAAGCTCACAGACAGCTTATTTTCCCATCCCAAGATAGTGTGATGGGGTCACCACTGCCCTGAAATGAGTTTTTAATTTTCAACAACAATCTAATTAGTCCCTGACCAGGGCCTGTTCTTTTTCTTGCCTATTTGCTTTTGCCTTCAGGGTCAGTAGCTGGCAACTAATATCCTCTAGAACTGAAGCACCCAAATTACCACACAGGCTGAGCTAATATCCTGCTGCAGATGCTATCATAGGCAGAAAGAAAATTGAAAGAGAAGTGCTACCATGGCCTGGCAGTGAGCAGCCACTATTATGTCCAAAGTCTATGCTTTAAAATTAACCTAAGATTCCTAGAAACGGGGCATGGGAGCAGGGTAGCTCAGTGGTAAAGGGCATGCTTAGCATGCCTGACAGCCTTGGTTTCCATCCCCAGCACCATTCATTCATTCATTCATTCATTTTGACTTGGGACAAAGTAGAGATCCCCAAAGATGTCCCAGTCATTTTTAGTCTCCCTTTAGAATATGGGACAAAATCCAGATCTCATTTTCCCAGTGGTTATAACCATGTTAATATGTAGTTGTCATTTATTAAGGCCTGTGCTGAGTGTTTTAGATTTTTTTTCTCATTGATTCTCTAGAACCACTGTATATATTTTTTAAAATATAGTTGCAAATTGAGTAACTTCCCCCAGGTCACTTGGAGATTAAGTGGTGGAGTCACTTAACCATGTTGGGTTCCAGAGTCTGTGTCCTTCCCCAGTATGATTATAAGCTGCCTGCATATTTGGCACAAAGTTTTAGCTGTTTGTTAAACACATGGCCTAAACCATGCAGGAAGGATCTGTTGAGAAATTATAGTGTGGCCCAGAATTGCAGCTGAGGGATGGAGGACAGCATTCTGCCTTCTCAGCATTCTTGACTTCCATGTGAAAGGTTAACGTCTAAAGAGCATTTTCCTACCAAAAGAGTCTGCCACTGCAAAGAACGTCCTTACCTGGAACATGACCTTCTAGCGTAGGGCTAGTAGACTGCAGCCCATTCCTATGGCCCATACGCCATACCAATAGGTAAAAAGGAAATCAAAGAATTTATTTCATGACACATGAAAATTATATGGAATTCAAATTGCAGTGTCCAAAAATAAAGTTTTATTGAGCTGAGCTGCGCTCTTTATGTGTTGTTGTGTCTGTGGCTGCTGTTTGCTACCGCAGCGGAGCTGAGCACGTACAACAGAGACTCTGCAGACCCTGAGATAGTCACTGTCTAGCCCTTTACGAAAAGCTTGCTGACCCCTGCCAGAAGGAAAGATAACTAAGCCAAACTGGCAATGTGACCAAGAGATTTTGCCCCCTTTTTTTTAATAGTCCTCTGGAGAGATCATCTTATCTCAGCATGTAGTTCAAACCCCTTTACCAACAAAGTAGAAGGGAAGACTGCCTTTTCATGGAGTTGGGAGCAAGGCAGCTCAGGCAAGACTCCTTCTGAGACCCGTCTCTGATGGCCAGCCTTGCTCTGGTGCCCTCTGATGCTTCCTTCCTCTTTAATATATTCGTGTCGTACACTACAAGAAGTAATATTTGAGAAAATGTTTGCTTAATTGTCCAAGATGTCTTAACAGCAGACTGTGGTAAGCTAGAAATTTAGCAGTTAAGAAGCTGACGTTCAAGGAGTTAAAATGATAAGGCTTTGTTAAGCCTCATATTTGTGTGAGTACTTTCATATATCTTCTGTTTAATCATTCTTTAACTTCAAGTGAGTATCAGATAACACAGTTCATTTCTCCCTTTCTTTTGAGAATGAAGTTTATGAGGCTTTTGCTCCTTGATTTCTACAATTTCAGTTCTTTTACTTTTTAACACTCCCATAAGATGTCAGTTGTAACATGTTGCAGCTGTAAAGCTGCTTTGTCCTATTTTTTCCACAAGGAATAGAGTTCTTAATGTGGAAATAAATCACGAAAGTTCAACCAGTTTATGCAATTTTACAAAACAAAAAATGCAACCCAGTTTTGATTTGATGAACTGCTAAGCAGTGAAATGAAATCCGTTGCCATATATATACAGCATCTTCCCACCTATGGAGTCTTACTATGTCAAACGACTTTCAGAGTCGCACCCAGGCTTGGGCCCAGTATTGGGTATTAGAAGAGAGATGAGAAGATGAAATATCATGAGGCCACCCTGGGCTGATGTTTTCCAAAGTCACTGATACGAGTTTTTGAGCACTCAATTCCAGAAGGTTGCAGGGGTAGGAGGCATACATGAAAGAGAGGGTAAGCAGAGCTGGTTTGATTGATTTGGGAGAGAGGCAAGGTCCAAGAACTAAAATTTTACTTCGATATTTTCTGGATTAAAGTCTTCTTGGTAAAGTTTGCAGGTTACTTGCCTATCCTCCTGTATTGATGGAAAAACTCATCTTGGCAGTAGAAAACTCAGTATGGCCAAACACTTCAACAGACGTCAACATATTTCCACTGTTCCTCCTGTGGGCCCCACAGAGTTCCTACTTTCGGAGGGAGTAGGAGGAATGTTACTATTATTCTGTAGATAACAAAATTGGAAATGGCAGATGTTGAGAGGTTTGCCTAAAGTAAAACAAATTACTAATGACATGACAGTATCCATGCTGCAGTTTCAGTTTCTGGGCCATGAGTTTCAACTCCCACTCCCACCTATAGTGAAAGAATGATCTTTGGGGTTGGGCACACCTGGTGCAATATCAGCTGTACCACTAAAATAGCTGGCTGGCTTGGACCAGTTTCAAAAGTCCTAATTCTTTCATGTGTAGAGAAAAGGATAGCAACTGATAACAGCCATGGAATGCTAGTGGAGCCCTGTAGCACAGTGCCTCCCATGTCCTCCCATGTTATAGATAATGTTTTCCTTTTGCTCCCTTGACACAGATTTTTTATATATGGATGGATATGTGCGCATATTCATATATACCGTACTTGTATAGTGTAACTTGTATCTTCATTGCAAGATTGAAGAAAAAAGGACTATTAGTCCTTCAGGTACAGTTAGACCCCCAAGTGGATAACAGCAGAGCCAAAAGCTAGAATTAAATAAGCAGGCCCTAAAGACCTGAGCCCAGGGCTGGGGATTTAGCTCAGTGGCAAAAGCGCCTGCCTGGCAAGCGCAAGGTCGTAAGTTCGGTTCCCAGTACCAGAGAAAAAAACCAAAAAAGAAATTTAAAAAAAAAAAAAAAAAAAAAAAAAGACCTGAGCCCAGGCTGCCCTTTCCTATGGGCATTACCTGCCATGGTGGTTCTGTAAGTTTAAATGACTGATCAATCAGAGGACATCTGCATTGAGCAGATGAGAGTGTAGGTTTCTGTTGCCTTCATGGTAAGGATTTACTTACTGTGTAATGTAAATCTGGCTACCAGTGAGGCCCACACATAAAAGTACCCTTATCAAAAGCCTATTAGAAAAAAAAAAAAGCCTATTAGAATTTTTCAAATGCTTAACCGTATTGGCTCAGAGTGCCTGCTCACATAACAAAGAGTTGGATATCCAAGCTGAAGCTTACTTTTTCCTTTGTACCACAAGTTGAACAACACTATTATAATCTTCCAAGATGGCTGAACTGACAGTTGAATATTTACTCCTTCTCTACCTCTATATAAGCATCTGTTTCCTGGAATTGTAACACCATCCCTGCTGATAAGGCCTTTTGGTGTCTCTTGGTAATTATCAATGGAGAATTAAAGGAAAATTAAATATATGTGTATTGTTCACTGTGTCTTACAGCTCTGTGACCATACCTGTAACTTCCATGGGATATAATACTCGAAAGTGGGTATGTGTAGCATGACCAGCAAGCAGCTAAGTAGATTCTATTCACTGACAGCACCAAGAGGAGGTCCTTAAATCATATTGTGCACATAGAAGAAAAGCCAGTGCTACCCCTCAGCCTACTTTCTTGTTTTCACAGGGTGTGAAGCAGTGTCCTCCTTTTACTCTTTTAGGTCACCACCTTCCCCTGGTTCCTTTATGAATTCCTTCCCTATGTCCTAATCAACCTACTTTGGCACTCTCCCCAATTTCTCTAGACTAGAGGTAAGTTCGAGGGCAGGAGCAATTAAAAATAGCTACTGACTCAATAAAATAAAAGGATCTACCGTACTAGCAGATAAAACCTAAATACAAAGAAATATTACTTGCTAAATATGCTACTCGAAAGGTAAAGGGATATGGATTTCCTAAACATTAACATTACCCACTCAGTAAATAGAAGAATTCAAGGGAATTCCATCCTTGGGAGAAAGGGTGTTAACCACTCATTACGTGCACTGTTAGAAGTTTCCGCTCACCTGCCAGCCCGGCCTGGTCAAGGAGGGTGGAGGAGGCAGCCACTTGAGGCTCTAATGAACTCTTTCCTCTTTCCCTATAGGTGTTAACAGAACTGAAGTCCGACAATCAGAGGCTGAAAGATGAAAACGGTGCCCTCATCAGAGTCATCAGCAAACTGTCCAAGTAGACCAGGTTCCACATGTAGGAGTGGGGAGAAGCATTTGCTGCCCTACTCTTTTTATCCAGCCATTGCCTTCCAGCCAAAAGAATTGAATGTTTTGGTGGAAGGACAACTCCTCCTGACCCTCTTCAGTCACCTCTGCACATTTTCTCTGTACCTTGAATGCCCAGTTCCTCCCACACCCCCATCCTGAGTTTTATGACAGTTTTAATTAAAGCATGATTGTGATCGTCCACGCCAGCTGGAGAAGCCTTGTGGAGCACACCAAGCTCAGCCATGGACCCCAACTTCTGCTGCTCTGCTGCTTTGTCCATATTGGATTGGGTTCAAACCAAAAGGCTTCTGCCCACAGCCTTTACGTTGACCCAGCGTCCTCTGATATAGGTGAGTCTTGTGCTGGCAACTCCAAGATCCTGTCTGGGATGTGAAGAGAAATGGCAGGATAGGGAATGAATCACCAGACACTCTGGAGCTACGTTTCTTTAGAGTCCAAGGCAACCATGACTGTGCATCAAGGCTCTCTGTCCTGTACCTCTCAGGAACTGACTCATTTTTATTTCTTCTAACGGTAACCTAGTACCATCCCTGACTAGTCTGAACCCTTTTTTTCTTTCATGCCTAGCCCATTCTCCAGGGCTCACATGACCCTGGCCTCACTCCTTTTCTTTCTATCCTTCCATTCTCCCCCCACACCACCTCCTCACCTGATTGTATAAAAGCTGGCACAGAGCACCTGACCTCAGTTGTCCTCAGCCATTATAGAAAACCTGGGGACTAGAAAATCATCACGCTGGTGCCTTGGTGGCAGCATTGTGAAACCTGTCCCTGCGAAGCGAGGCCACAGCATGAATGTCAGCCTACTGTTTCCATCTCCCACTTGTCTTCTCCCTGCAAGATGATTTTTTTGTACTGGAAAATCTGGGCTGTGGATACCCCATTCTGCCATGCTCCCTTTGACCTTGTTTCCTCTCTTTGCTCTGGCACCTGCTTCTACTGAGAAATGCAGTCACTGCAAGGAGATTGGAGAGGTGGGGAGGGCAGCTTATTGGGAGCTGGGCTAGAGAGTGGAAGCAGGGAGGAAAGACATAGATGGTGAAAGTAGAGGCTCTGAGGACACTCGCAGTATTATGACAAAGATTGTTAGCCCATGGTGCTCCTGAGAATGGCGGTAAATTTGATCATTTCTGGTGGTTAGATTTAGGGGAGAGACGTTTGCTTTCTTGAAACTAACAGGAAGAAATGACTGCTTGAAAGAGGTTTAAAGGGATAAGGTACTTCCAGCCCAAGAGAGTCATGGAATTTTATTTAGGGTGGCAAGGCTCAGCAGATGCTTGATCCAGCTTTCCAGTCACAGCTTTGACCACTGTCAGGTACCTGTGGTGGCTGTGCGTTTATTACTCAGAGCCTAGGCAAGTCTAATAATCAGAGAGTTTCTGCTAATAGGAGCCAAATTTGGCCTGTGAATTCTCTGCGTAGGCTACATCTACCCTTTGTAACTCTTTAACATGACATCCTTCCGATACATGTGGTTGGTGCTCTCCCCTTAATCTTGAAGCTCATGTTTTACACAGTCCTTACAGTCACTGCTTATGTGACATGCTTTCCATGCCTGTCACGTCTTGGCCATCCTGCTCTGGACCCAAACAGCCTTTTAAAAGTATCATGCCCAGACCATAACAGAGGTCATTATAACTCCAGCCCACAGCTAAACCATTAGTTTCCAGTGATGATCTTATATTAATGTAGAGTATGTCTTTTGTAGGAATTGTATCCCGTGGTTCATTTTGAGCGTGCAGTCATTTAAGGCCCTGTCATTTTAGTGACAGTGGAGAGAGTAGTCTGTTCCCTTAACATACCTTACCTGTTAGTTGCTTTCCTGAAAACAGCAGTGTCGTTCTCCATGACTGTTGGAAGCATCCAGCGCCCTTTACAGAGAAGGTATCATTTGGGATCCCAGCTCCAGAATAGGAAGCACATCTCATCTGACAGAAACCCAGCTTTAGAGTATCCAGGTTCTCTCTGCCATTGCCACCCATTCTTCAGGAGAAGGTGCTCCTACCTTGGGACTTTGTATTATCTCAGCAGAATTAGGGCAGGAAGTTCTGTATCTTCCACTATAAGCATTCCTTTCCCTCTCTGTAAAGAAGTCAAAAGGGCATTGGCTACGTGATTCTTTTGGCATATCTTGGATGTTGGTAAAGAGAAGATTACTGTCTCTTTCACAGGAAAAGAAAATTGGATTATGAGGAAAACATTTTGAGTCTCTTCCATTCTGTAGACCAGGTAAAGGAGTTACAAAGAGTCCTTCAGATCCCTTTGTGCCTTTCAAAGTGCGGGAGGCAGGTTTCCAAAACTCTTGGGTTGGCATGACAGCCCTGCTGGCCTAGATGGCCTTTCATGGTAAAGATGCTTCCTGCCAAGAAATTTTCCATGTAACAAGAGATTTTTGGGCTGGGGTTATAGCTCAGTGGCGTGAGTGCCTGTCTAACATACAGAAGGTCCTGAGTTTGATTCCCAGTACCAAAAAAAAAAAAAAAAAAAAAAAGATTTTCAAGCTTTTCAACCTCAGGAATACTAGCTTCTATGGCCAAGAACTCAAAGTTTAACCATCCTATGTAATTTCAGTCACCTTCTCTTATGCCATTAATTTTATTAGCTAACATTCTGAATTCTGGTCTCTTCAGACTAAACACCATTTCTTTACAACTGTGTTGCCTAGAAGCTCCACAAGGTAGTGGTTAGAGGCCTCCAGCAGCCAGCTGTTTCTCCAGTGCTTGCATCCCCAGCCTTCTGTTCTTCTGCTTCTTGGCCAGTAACCTGCTTGGTCTCTTCAATGGCCACTGACCTCCCATCTGGTTTAGGTGCTCTCGAGCACCCTGCAGCTCAAACCCAGGGAGAGCTGCAGGCTGGCCAGCAGAGTGGGCATGGCTCTGTCACTTCAGAATCTTCACAGGAGGGGCTGGGGATTTAGCTCAGCGGCAAAGCGCCTGCCTGGCAAGCGCAAGGTCGTGAGTTCGGTTCCCGGTACCGGAGAAAAACAACAACAACAACAACAAAAAAAAAAAAACAGAATCTTCACAGGAAATACCAAAATAGAGAAGACAGTGTTCTACAGCTTCACACCCTGTTCCCATTGCCACACCTCTGGGAGCAATGATTGGGCCATTCCAGATTCTCTGGCTGGGGTGTGCCTTCCAGGGACTGCTAATCCTTCCAAACAGCTCCAGGGTACGATGACCCAGCCCCATCCCTGACTCAAGTGTAAGAGTTAGGCCCATCTAGGGGGCCACCACCAGAGAAGCTGAAGCGCTGGGATCCTGTGAGCCCCTGGGTGCACTCAGGTCCCTGGGCTGGTTACCAGCATGTTTCCTAGACCCACCCTGTCTCCATCCAGCTGTGGAATTTGCCCTGGTTTCTCTCCCACCCCACCCACAGAGACCTAGATATATTTGTTGCTCTCTGAGGCCACAGGTGGGCTTCATATCTGTTTGGATGATCCCGTTCTCCCTGTCCCAAACAAAACATGGACCTATTTAACAGTGCACTCAGAAAGCAGGGAGGCTAAAATGCCACTTCATAGCCTGTGGTCTCACAAAAGCATGTATACTGCTGACCATTTCTCCACCAGGAATGTTTAACTGAGCCATAGATGAGGGAAGAGAAACTGTCACAGCCATGCACTGTGCTAGCTCTCTTAATTTCTGGCCTCTCGCAGCCGGCTCAAGCCACAGACACTGTCTCTTTCTGGCGGACCTGTGGCCACCTTCCCGGCAGTGTGGACACTCATTAGCATGCGGCCATGCGAAGTGTCACCAGCTGTTCTGCTTGTGGCCTGCTTTGCCCCTTAAGCAGGAGAGCGTAAGAGTCCATCAGGGAAGAAGGAAGTCGCTGGTCCACCCCACCACGTGAGCCACTGGGTGCACTGGAGCTGTGGGAGCCTTCCCTCCCGACTGTCACAGGGCTCATCGCACCCCATCGTTTATACCCACACTGTACTTACCTCAATACATTTATCAGTCAGAGGCAGTCCCTGCCCAATGCAGGGCCGGTTGTACCTACAGATTTCATGCACCATTCTGATTTTTAAGGTAGGCTTGTGCTCTCAAAGTATGAGTTCCTCTGGGCCCACCAAGCCCGGCAGCTCTGGGCACAGAGTAAGGCATTGTGAGAGAATAAGCCCCAGGGAGTGACTGCCTGTGTCCCAGGGCCAGCTCTTCCACTAGCCGTGTGACCTTGGGCAAGGTAATCTTTAAAATCCCTTCTGGCTTAAAAGTCTATGATTTATTCATTCTTAGGAAGATCAGAGCATTTCTTAAACTTGAAATTATTGAAGCAGAAATTTCTTTTAACTTCAAAAGTTCAAGACCAGAAATTCTTGTTTTTTTCTGGATTCAAACTGTGTAACATCAGCATGTCAAGGTTGACTTCTCATTCTTCTTGGAAAGTGAGTTTGATATTGAGGGTAATTGAATGGTCTTGCAATTGCTTTCCCTCATAATGGTGTGGTAAGAATATTAAAACCTGCAGAGGTAGAAATTGGAGTGTGTGGGGAAATGGATAGAAAGCAATTTGTTGCCGGCAGCCTTTGGACAAATTGTTTTAATAGGAAATAGAGCTGCTGCTTCATTGGTTTCCTCAGCCACTTTTCCTCAGCCTGCTCAGACGTAAGCTACTGTGGCTCTTTTTTTTTTTTTTTTGCTACTGTGGCTCTTGACACCCAGGCAGCAGGCTGCATTGCACTTCTGCTTACCACCAGCTGGTTCCCAGCCTTGAACTCTGCCTTGCAACAGTAAGAGAATTTTCCTCTGTAAAAGCTTCGGCGTTTAGTTCCATAGAACTCCTCCTCTGGATTCTGAGCTATCAGAAGTAGGAGGCTCTGATGCTGTTCAAGACAGTCTTTTCTTTAAAGCAGGTCTTCAGAGGAGACTTCCAAAGCAGTAAGCATTTAAGGCCACCCAGCCACACTGCACAGAGCAGCACCCAGCTCTCACAAGCCTACAGGTCTGCATGTGAGCACAGCGGAGGGGCAGGGGCCTCGGACCTAGAGGTGGCTATGTGCTGTGGTGTGTAAAAGGCAGCCAGTCCCAGGCTTTGAACGTGGAGCAGGATGGAGGCCACGGCAGGAAGAGGCAAAGCACATGGAAATGAGTGTGTCTCACAAGTGACTTCATCCCTCAGCCTCCAGCTGAGCGGAGATTTTAATCAACTTCCTAATAGGTATTGACACTTCTCAGGAGCCGTAGACCCTATCAGGGACAGCTATTGATCTCTTGTGTTCTGATTAGATTGAGGAAAATAGATCAACTTCATTACAGCTCAGGAACTATCATTGTCACAGCCACTAAGGGATGAGGTGGTCTCTGAGAGCTGAGGAAAACAAGCAGAGAATTGGCCAGCCAGGCAGCAACCAGATGGTGAGAGAAGATGCATTTGCTTGTCCTTGGGAACTGTGGCTGAGGGTCAGAGTTGAACTGGGGCATAGCTTGCAACTGGAGTCTGGAGGCCCTACTGGGGCAGAGTGTCAGGAGGAGGCGGGGCCGTCTGAAGACCACAGTGCTGACAGAGGCAGTGAGGCTCACTCTTCCCATCTGTGCACGTCTGTGCACTTGTGCTGGCCTGGAGCTGTCAGAGTGCAGTGTGGTATATTCTTGGTCAGAAATGAGAACTCAGAAACTAATTTTACCTAAGTCCATTCTATCAATTGCTATCTTTTGCTTACCACCCCCTTCCAAGACTCCTGTGCTATTCTTCTTATCTGCTTATCATTTCAGACTGTGAAACTGTCAGAGTGATAGTTTTTTCTCCTCCAAATTTTCCCCTCATGCTTCCAATAAAATTTTACTTGGGTGGCCCCTTAAGGTGACATCAGGATGCTCTCATATCCTTCCAAAATAAGCATACTGTGCTCTCTTTCCCTCTCATCTCCCTCCACATTCTTTAGTCCTTGCTTTCCTCACTTGGACCCTGTGGTGCTTTACAGAAAGTTTTCCATGAATCAGCCAAGAATCCAGGAGGAGTTTATACACCAACAGCCACCCCCGTCCCATCCCTTCCAATTCAAAGCTCCCTGCTGTGCTAATGCCTCTCAGAGATGAGGGGTGACTCTTAGGCTTTGCAGGCCTAGGGCCGCTGAGACCGTGGGCAGCTCTGTCTGGTTTATGCCATCTTTGTCCTGAGAGGTGTAACTGGTCCCAGCTTAAGGCAGCAGTGTGTCTTCTTGGCACAAGCTGGATCCGTGTGTTGATGCATCTGTGACGGCAGCTCAGCCCATTCCTCCCTGGCAGGCGGAGGAGTCGGAAGAGGCGCACACCTGCGGGGAGCCTCCAGAGAGGCTCTGACATGCTCCCAAGACCAGCACTGGCATCAGAATACAGATCCCAAACAGGGACACATGAGTGCCAGCTCGAGCTCAACCCTAACTGACATCTCTGCCCTTGCTATTCTCCCACTCGCCTGAGACCTCAAACAGCTTTCAAACTGTCCTCTGGTACAGAGAGGCCAAGTAAGAGAGTTTGGAGGGAAGACGACTCCGGGAGGCAGGCTGCAGGGCAGAAGAGGCTTCTGGAGGATGCAGCCATCTAGCTCACATCGGTGAGCCCTTGGAGGGTTTGGTTGCCACCGGGCTGGCACCTCAAGGAGGGTCAGGACCTCCCAGAAGAGAGAAGGAATAGGTTTTGCCCTTGCATCCCTCTCTTGGGAAAAGATACAGCCTATTCTCAAGGGAATGGTTCAGACTCAGGCTTTTGGCCTTATGGTTCCACCCCCCCTTCGTTCTTGCCTCTGCCCTGACCTTGATCAAACAGAGGTGAAAGAGCAGAAAAGAACCACCCTGGGGTCTCCACACCTCTCCTGTTTTTAGTGGTAGCATTTGTCCTTATCCACCTTCTCACCTGACTTCCACCATAGTTAAAGCACCGGATGTAACTTTTCAGCTGAGTTGTATGGGTTTAACCAGTCCATTGTAAATATACCTGGAGTATTGAGGGAGGGGAAGCCAGCTTGCTTTGTGAACTGAATGTATTTTTATGCAATTTTGAGTGGCCTTTCAACCCTGAGATGGATGATTTTGTTTTACTGGTGGTTATTCTATAGTTACTAAGTATTTTGTGTTTGAAAGTTTGGGAAAAATAATATTCACATCTATATGATGCCTGTAAACACAACAGTATTTATAAATCAGTAAAACTGTTTTAACTTTGTGCAGTGAGCTCTCTCAAGGTGTGGGGCCCTCACCCAGCAGCCTCCTACAGCTGCCATTCACATAAGGGTCTTTTTGCCAGCGGTAAGTTGCGATCCCTAAGGGCGGGTCGCTGGGAGCACCAACGTGTGTCCCTAGGTGGATCCCACCAAGCCAAAGCCTGCAAGGAAGGTTCAAAAGAACCAGTAAGCAATCAGGGTTTCCAGCGACTAAGAGTAAGGCTGGCTGCGGAGAGCAGGACTCCGTGCAGGAGTGCTGAGGCTGTCTCCTTGCTCACTAGCATGCCATCTCATGGGAAGGGGAGGGCCTGTGAGCAGACTCCAAGTGCAGCTAACTGGCGGGCCCCTGGAGGTTATGTCCAAACTCCAAATGAAGGAGCCCAGCCCAGGGAGGAGCTGCAGGCCTGGCTGCCTGGCAGGGTCGGGGTGGGGGGTTGCCACGCCTGATCTTGGGCAGCCAAGGTTCCAATCTGGTTTCTCCATGCAACAAGCTCTGCTTTGGCTCTGCTCAGCCCTGCTTGCCGCCAAGCGGAAATCCCTGATCACTGACTTGGAGGCAGTCAGGGAGGATTCTTTTCCCGTGCTGTCACCCAGCTCTTTGTAGCCCTAGCAGCAGAACACACACACATGATGTCATGGTTGAAGAGTTCAGAACTGTCCCGGGGCCCGAGTGGAGGTGCTACAGGCCAAGCAGCATGTCCAATACCAGGGGCCCTTGACTGTGAATGTCTGTGTCCCCCACTAGATATGGTGAGGTCTACACACAATGTCACGGGTGGTAACATTCTGTGGGGGCGGAGATGGCATGCACAGCCTTTCTGCAGCAGAGTGAGGAGCCCACATTCTAACCCAGGGACAGGCCCAGTCCCGTCCCAGGAGCCTGCTCACACACCCAGGCCACCAGCCTGCACCACCTCAGGGACTGAAGCAGTGGGATGGGGCAGAAGTTCAAAGACCCGGACCCTTTTCCACTTGCTCAGGTGGGCCTGTCGCTGCTTCTCTGCTGCCCCTCATGCATGTGGGCCTGAAGGCAAGCCCACGTCTAGCTGTGGTAGTCCTAGAGCACAACTGCCACAGGTGGAAGCTGACAAGACAGCAGGTGGCCTGTCTTCCAACTGAGGGAACAGATCGGGGTGGGATGTGGAAAAGGAGTCCAATCCTTTCCTAGTCTTGGGGCAGTACTGCCGCGCACTCTTCGTAAACATTCCAGATCCTACCCTTCATCTCTGACGTCCTTGCCATGTGAGTGCAGGATATTTGGAGTTCTTTGCAATGGGGCAATGCAAGGCTTTATGGGAATTCTCAATTTTTAAACTCCCATGCTGTGGTCATTCCCTAAGCCCAGCTCTACTGGAGGGAAGGCAGGGATGTGGCGCACCCCAGCCTCAATGGGCTGACCCTCAGCACCAGCCTGCTTCCCCAGGGCAGCGGTGGGCACTGGCATGTGGCCTCCTGTGGGGTGCTGTGTGCCCACCCGCCACCAGAGCTCCCATTGCCTCTTCCTTCCCAAGCCCCACACAGGCCTCAACACCTTTTGCCACTTGCATGAGGGGGTGCTGGGCTATAGGCCAGGGCCTCAGGAATGGCTCAGGATACCCTTGTGTATCCTGCTGACGCTCTGGCAGCCCTTCCAACCCCCACCCACATCGTGGCCCAGGAAAAACAACTGGAGACACCCCCCACCCCCAGGTTTCTTTCAGCTCATTTCTTTAATAAGGAGACGCAGCTCGTTACAAAATTAACAATTCGACAAGAGATCAGACAAGAACAACAGAGTCCACAGAAGGGGTGGAGAGCATTGCCAAGCAGGAGGAGGGGGCAGCTAGGGCTCCACGAGTGTCCACCTCATGGAGACGGGGAGCTCCTGGTGGGCCCTCACATTGCCTGGGTGACCCAGATCAGGCTAGGCTAGGCTTTGCCCCTAGTTTTGACATTTTCTGGCCCCAAGGTTTTCACAAAGCAGCAGATCAAGTCCTTCGGTGAGCAGGAGTCAGGGCAGAACGGGCAGGCTTCTCTGAGGGGGACCCTTAAAGCCCTGATTGATTGCTGATGAGGGTGGAGGAGAAACTTCAGTGTCCCACATTCTGCCTCACCACCTGGCCAGACAGACCCCCTCAGCTCTTGCCTTGATTCTGCCTGGAGGTGGGGAGGCCCTGCAGTGAAAGCTGATCCCAGCCTGCCCTGAAATGGTCCCCTCCACTGTCCCCACTCTATGACCCCAGCACAAGGGGGACATAAAGTCTGTCACACTCTGCCCAGGCATGGTGGTTTGTAAATGGTAGCGCCCACCTTGCTGGCTCTGGCTTGTCTAGTACACCCACCCTGGTTCTTAACTTCTCTCTCTTGCCTGAGGCCTCCTGGGGGCCATGAGGAGCCTGGGCTGCGGGCTGGGGACTGCAGTTCAACGTGCTGGCCAGAGCCCTCAGAAGGCCTAGTCCCGCTGCCCACCTCTCCACTGCTTGGCACACCGGGCCTGGGCTGTCCTAGGAGCAGATGTGAGTCAGAGCCCGGCACAGCGTGCCCCCGACACAGGGTAGCCCACACTGCTCCAGGGTGGGCTCCACAGATTGCAGGGTGGAGTGTGGGGGAAAAGCTTAACCCATCATGTTGCCCAGGGTTTTCCCTGAGTCCTTTCTCCATGACTACGCGTGGACCCCCAGGAGTAAATGGGAACCCGACCACACAGCGAGCCACTGGCTGGCCGCTCCTGAAAGCCCTGGTCATCTCTATAGAGCCCCCAAGTCTGTATCCAAAACCATGGGGTCCCTACCACTGCCCTGTCCACACCCAGGGTTGAGATGGAGTTGAATCATCAGACTTGGGCCAAAAAAGCCAGCCAGGGTCATCTCCTAAGGCCCCACCAGAAGCCCTGGACACCATCTGTCCTCATAGCACCAGGCTAAGGGAGCAAAAGAGGGTGACACCAGGTGGGCCCGTCACAGGTGTTTTGTGGGGAGCCAGTCAGAGGGACACAGGTGCTCCTGGGAGGAGCCGAGGGCAGTCTCCAGCAGGAGGCCCCCTTTATGGCTTTTCAGTTAGTTCAGACAGCGGGAAGAAGGGAGCCGCACCACACATACACAGGACACAGGAGCAATGGGACACACACCAGACCAGACACTGCGGGGTATCCCGAGGGGTAGCCCTGCAGACAGAGGTGCAGCAGACGGCCTTCAGGGATACTGGGCCTCTGGGCCAGAAACTCTTCCATCCTGATGGCTCCCATTGCGGGGTTCCCAGTGGGGGCGGCGGGGTCAGACTGGGGACAGACGCCACATGACAGACATGGAAGGGACAGGCTCAGCCAGTTCTGTAAAATGGGTCTGGGGTTGGGAAATCAAGGGGACTCCCAGCATTGCCATGCGGCTATTTACAGAAAGTTATAGACATGCATCTTGATTAAACAAGATTTCTGTTCATAGGTTTATAGATAACTATCTTTTATATATAACTAAACACACATGAAAGGGGTCAGATGAGGCTCAAATGGCTTCAGAAGGTTCTTGTTTTGTTGTCACTTGAAAAATAAAGTATATTCATGTGTCTTCAAGTCACAGTGTCCCCTTCTCAGTATTGCAGTTTGAAGAACAAGTTAAATCTATGGTGACCAATCTCTGGCCCCCTGGGACCAAGAGGGAGAGGGGAGACATGGTCATAGGGTAGGGTTGCCAGACACAATACAGGATGGCCAGTTAAATTTAGGTCTCAGATTAACCATGAATCACGTTTTAGTACACTATGTCCCAAATATTGCGTAGGACATACTTATAAATTGTTGTTTATCTGAAATTCAAATTAACTGAGCATCTTATATTTTTATTTGTCAAATCTGGTAACCACATCATGGGGCTGTGGACCACCAGGATTAGGATTTGAGGCTCTTTCCCACCTTCCACCACCCGTGGCTCTGAAGCCCCCAATCATCCCAAGGTGGGGAGTGGGTAAGACAGAACAGACAAGGGACAGAGCAAAGGTTATGAGGGCATCTTCTGGCTCAATTTCCTATCTTTGAGAGGAGGGACACCCTCAGGGACAGGCTGTATACAGATCAGGTAAGACCTAGGCGTGGAAGCCTCAAGAATTAGCCTAGGACATTAAAGAAACAAAGAATCTCTCCCTCCCCAACCCACAAGAGGGCGCTCCCACTGGCGTCACCCAGCTCTTGCATGAGGACAGGTTTACAAGAGCGCTAGTTTTACCTGCACTGACCCTTTTCTCTCACTGAAGCCTCAGGCCAGCAAAATCCGAAACTGATTCTGCAGAGACTCAGGCTACAAATGAGAAGAGAGAAAAACCAGGATCTGAGACTGTGGCCTAGTCTCTGCTGTCCCATCGTCCAGCTGGGGAGGCTCCGGGGAAGTTGTTTCTTATCACGCTGAATACCTACTCACTGCCTGGGACTGCCAGCCGCCCCCGGCCTCAGCTTCTGCTTCCAAAGTCTAAATAGCTGCCCATAACCTGGGAGTGTTAATGTCCTTTCTGAAATGATTATCCAGGGAGAAAACAAAGTTTTTAGGCTCCACCCCTAGTTTCTGGGTGGGATTAGGTTTGGGTTATCACAGTCTTAGCCCGTCTATAAAATATCATCTCTCTACCAAGTACTTTCCTCTCCGGAACAGACTTTGGGATGAAAACTCACAGCCCCAGAGGCATCCAGACACCCTAACTCTTTCCTACTTGGCGCTGACACCCCGGGGCCATAACATCACGGAAGTAAACCTGCATGGCAGTGAGGTTTTGGAATGATGCTCTGTGGCTTGGGTTACATCAGCCCTCGGTGTAGTAAACTTATAAGCATCACTATGTTCCTTGCAGCCTGTGGACCCAGACAGGTGCCCTCTGCTCAGGTAACTCACCAGAACCAACCAAGACTTGGGGAAGGAGCTGCTCCTGGCACCACACTAGCTCCACACTGGTACAAAGACTCAAAGTCTCAGTAGCTTGCCCTACCCCTTCAGGCTGCCCACCAGAGGTGGGCTCAGTACTAGAACCCAGCCTGTCTCCAAGCCAGGGACACTCAAACCACCAGAGGGGCTTACCATTTCCTTCCCTTTTCTAGTAAGGGAGTGGAAAGTCTTGGGCTTTAGACGGAGGAAATGAGATTTATGGACACAGAAGAATCCCTGGTGGTAGAAAGTGAATTGGAAACGGGTAAAATAATAAAGGTAAAGATTGACAGGAAGTTTCCATGAATAAGGTTTGTGGAATGTGGGTGAGAGAGGACCCTGAGAAAGCACCAAAACCGCACAGCCCTGGGATGGGAGAGGAGTCCAGTGATCTCTTATGTCCATACCTGGACTCTGGTACTCTGCTGCCACCCAGATTCTGAAGGCACTCCATTGTCCTACAACTCTCTAACATGACCACAACTCTGGTTCCAAAAACCAGACCTCATGTTTGTATTACAGTACTACCTTCCTAGTAGGTATGTAGACATACGGTGCATAAAATACATGACTTCCCACGTACCACTGCGGGGTTCCCAGTGGGGGCGGGAAGGAGAAGGGTCAGTCTGAGAGCAAGGGCAGGAAGGAGAAGGGTCAGTCTGAGAGCAAGGCCAGCCAAGACCTGCTGTCCAGTCTCTTTCTGGTGGAGGTGTTCCCTCACTCCCCACTTGAATAACAACAAAAAAGCAAAGCAAAATCTAATACCCTCCTCACTTTAATAAAATTAAAAGACACATTGTGGGGTCTCAAAGCCTGATTCTCTCGAACACTATCATTCCATCTCAGGTGCCTACAGGAAGGCAAAGTGGCCCAGATGGGGCAGGACAGGAAGTGCTGCCATCTTTGCTGGGAATGTGATTCCCAGGCCTCCGGGGAAGCTGTGAGTTTTTTGTGGTAAGGAAATGGCAAGGATTTAAGAGACAGAAGAGAGAGGCTAAGGGAAGGGAGGCAAAGAGTGTTGACCTCTGGCCATGTGGGGACCTGACTCTCTAAAGGTTTGAAAGGAGACTCAGTGCAAACTTGACTAACATATATATGGCTTTTTTAAAATCAATGCTGGGGACAAGAAGTGAATGGGGGATGGGACAACTGAGAATGGGGTAGACCCTGGCAGGTTTCCTCCGCCACCCATCCTGGCATTCGTAGAGAAAAGACTCTAATGAATGTTAGGCTGGGGCCTCCTTAAGCCTCCTTGAGCCACTCCAGCTACTTCCCAGCCCTCTGGTATGGAGGGCAGAGGAATGGGACTTGGAGGAATCCAAATGCTCCCATCCCAGAAACTCCATCGTGGGTCCATTGCTCTCCCCTTTTCACCACCCTCTTCTTGCCTGGACCCAAGGAAACTAAGAACATTTAAGCCTTCCTCTTACAGTTCTCTGGCTCTGTCCAGATAACATGTCTTCAGACAAGTTGCTCCACTTAAAAGAGAAATTGAAGCAAAAGCACAATGGAGAAAAAATGCAAAGGAATTGCACTGCTCAGATTCTGGAGAGGGAGAAAGTGTCTGCGTTTCCCAATGGATGGGCAACGATGCAGGAGTTTTAATTTGGTCTTTCTGGATAAAGGGACCTCTGTTTCTTCATAATGTGATACTGTCAATAAGAGCGAGATCCTGGGACTGACTGACAGTCCCTGTTAGAGTCTGACCAATCTAGTGAATAGCTCATTTCCATGAACGTCCCAGAAACCCCACTTCTGGAGAAGCTGTGACTGACAGGAGGAAGTCTGTGGTGGCATCAGGGCTTTGGTCCTAGTTCTGGACACATCCTGTCCCCACATCTCACTGCCTCCCAAAGAGCCATCTACAAAGAATGTAGGAGCTTCTGGCGTTTGACCACAATCTTGAGCCTTTTCCACAAGCTGACAGATCGCCCACAGTCAGTGGACTTCCTTCATCTCAGGGTCCCCGGAGAACCTTTTCTTCCCATACAGCTTCACTGTCCATGGCTCATCCCAGGCTTGAAGAGAGGCACTCAAAGACAGACAGACAGACACATAGACACGCACGCGCGCACACACACACACACACACACACACACACACACCCCATTGGCCACTGTGTTGCCTTCACTGTCAGGAAACAGGAGGTGCCACCATTTTGTTGGTCCGGAACGTGCAAAAAAAGAGAAGTGCTGCAACTTTCTGCCAGTAGAGCGCCTCACTTGGGGTGAAACTTCAGTGAAGCACTGAAAGAGTGAGAGGGAACCATGACAGGGCATGCAGCGAGGGCAGTTCCTAGGACGATGAACAGAGCCAGGCTTCTCTTTTACCTCTTAGGGGACTCTCTTCGTTCAGCCGTCAAAGGGAAAGTTGGTCTTTCAAAAGAGAAGAAAGAAAAACAAGTATACAACCACAAACAGATCAAATCAAAACAAAACAAAACCTCTAAGGTTGCATAACTGAGGTATTGATAGCTCTGGATCTTGTCAGTGTCGGTGAAGGGCGCCGAGTCCCAGCTGCCGCCGTCTACTTGTTCTTGCCCAGAAGTGCGTCCACCTCCTCCTCGGGCTTGAGTGAGTGCCACTGGGCAATGGGCCTCCGGGGGTTGGCCAGCATGTCGGACCAGTGCCGCAGCTCTGTGCCTGTGGCATTGCTGCCCACAAAGATCTTGCCAATGGCTTCATTCTTACCCAGCTTGTCATAGTCCAGCACAGTGACCACCACCTGCACTTTCTATAAGGAAAACAAAGCGGGGAGGAATTGGAAGGTGAAGAGAGGCACTCCGTACCAAATTTCCCCTGCCGACAAACAAATGTTTGGGAAGGAAAGGTTTCCCAGGACCCCTTGCTTCTACTCTGGCTCCAGCAAAGACTGAATGTACAGAGAGGCGGGGCCCACACCTTTTGGAGATGATCTATGTTTCTACCGACAGCATTTACCGAACATGTGCAGTGGTAAGCACTGGCTGCGTTAGGCACTTGTTAGCGGCAGTGAAAAGATGGATTTTTACCTCTAATGAGATGAGCAGGCACATAATCACAAACTTGCAACACAAAGTGGTAAAGGTTATGCTAGAGAGGTAGGCACAAGGGCCTATGGAAATTCGTAGGAGGTGACGGGCCTGCTTGGCCCCATCAGGGCAAGTTTCATATAGTGACGTCTGAATGGGACACAGGGTGAGGATTTCTCTCAGAGGAGAAAAAGGGGAAGAAGATTCCAGGAAAGATTAGCCCGGATAGGGACAGCAACCCATGAGACTACATTGGGTGGCTGAGAAATGGACGTGCAGAATCACGGAGCTGTGGAGTGAGAGACAGGCAGAAAGTGAGGTCACCGGGGTGGGCTGGGGTCAGCTAAGGAGTTTGCATTTTATCCTTCAGACAAGCAGCTGGAAGACTTTTAAGAGGAACGGCGTGGATAATTTGGAAAGAAAGCAGTGGCACTGAGGCGGAGGATTCACTGGAGGAGGACTGGGCCTGAGGGCAGCAGGGAGACCAGTTGCTGGGGTCCTGGAGGGATGGGTACTGAGGACATGAACAAAGACAGTGGGTGTGGGGAACCAGGGCCAGACAAGAGCGGTATTTAGAGGAGAGAACTGAGGCTTGGCGACCAGTTGGATTTGTGGAGGGGACCGTCAATGCCCTTCTCTCAACCCCAGCCGACTCAGACTCATCCTCCAGGACAAAGCTTTCTCTGGGGAGCCATCCCTCCACTGTTCACGGTCCTCTCCCTGTGCCCAGTGAAGCTGTCATCTCACAGTATGTGTTGCTGTCCCCTCCCACCATGACAACCTTCAGAACCAGGATCTACCACACACTTGTGTTCCCAGCTCCTGGCAAGTATCTGGCCCTTAAGAAATGCTCAGGAAATCACGTCAGATAAATGAGAAAGGAAAAGGGCCTGGGGTCTAGGATGATGCTCAGGTGTCTGACGGGCTGCTGGGTAGACGGTTGAGCCGTTCACTAAAAACAGAACTCAGATGAAGCAGGTTTGGCAGCGAAAGGAGAGAGGTTTAGACACTGGGTTTGGACGTGTTGGGTGTGCGATGCTCGGGCAGCTTGCTTGCTATCCGCCTCAAGTTCTCCACTGGGAAGACTCCGCCCGGGCTCCCATGCCTGCTGAGCTGCCTATTGTTCCCTTGAATGATCCCATGCAAGACTCCACAGACTCTAACTCTGAGTCCTTCCCTGAAACTCCTGCCCCTCAGCCCTCTGGAGGGGAGCAGAAGTGGGCAGAGCAAGAGGAGACTCCGGGACTGCACAGGGACCGGCCCACTGCAAGGCCCTGGCTGCATCTCACTGCAGTCCCAAAGAGTGGGGCCTCCTGTTCTCCTATATCTCAGCCACACCCAAAGTGGAGAAAAGAAAACAGACCTCATTTCCAACATGCACAGAATTCGTTGAAGAAAGAGAAAGAGGGAGGGCAGGTGGAGAGGAGGGACAGAAGAAGAGCAGAGAAGGCTGGAAGGTCAGGGAGGGGAAAAGGCATCGCTGGGAGCAGGGCTGGGAGCAGCAGAGATGAGGGCAGGGATGGCTGCGGCAGGCCGAGGCCAGGGAAGGCTGGAGAAGGCGGCGACCTTCCCTCCCCAGTCACTCCCAGCCATGGGCTGTTGTCACAAACACCCACATGCATGGCCATGTTCCTCAAAGTCCTTAAAGACTGATACGTACAAGTTTAGGAATTAGTTCACGTTCATCTCATCAGAAGAGGGGACCCTTCTGAAGATGCCCCAGGGAGGGAGGCCCCACAGCATCATCAGCCCGAGCCTTCCCCAACACGTGAAGCAGTCCAGTGTCCTGCGGAGTTTCCTGCCCCCGACCTCCTTCATCCCCACCCCAGCTCCATGCCTAAGACTCAGAGGGCTTGCGCACCTGAATCTGCTCGAAGGGGATCTCAAAGCTGAAGGACTCGTTGAAGTAGGGGTTCAGGGTCTTTTTTTTCACTGTCGTCTTCTTCTTCTTGAGCCTCTTCCCATTCTGCATCAGGTGGATCTTCACATAGGGGTCTGGGGAGAGAGTCCCAACACGAGGCTCCTTAGGTCTCCTAGCTCCCGAGCAACTGGCCTACCCCGGCCTCCAAGAGACAGGGTTTCCACCTGCTGAGAGCAAGCAGGCAGAAAGCCCCAAGGCACCGGACAGGAAGTCCAAAAGGCACAGAAGAATAATTCAGCTCAAGGGTGGCAAAATGTTTCATCTCAAGGACAGCTCTGACCTGTTGGTTGTAGTTCCCAGGGGGGGTCCTGCTGGGACAGTCTCTGGGTCTAGGTGAGGCCTTGCAAAAGAGTGTGGGAACCAATTGGTGATACCTGTGCTAGGCAGGGGACAGAGTAATGCTGAAGGCAGGGCACACCTCTGCCAAGGCCTCACTCTGGCCCGATATAAGCCTCCTTGCAGATGAGAAACAGGCCAAAGAAGGCAAATGACCTACACAAGGCCACATACTGGATCAGTGACACAGCCCGCACCCATCCCCTTGGCTGGCTCCCTGGGAAAGCACCGTGGAGGCAGAGGCTTCACCAGCACCCTGCGCCATGGGCCAGCTCCACGTACCACCAGGTAAATCTGAAACTCAGCGCTGCACACACTCTGACCCCTTCCCAGGTTACAGCCAGTAGAGCCTGCACCTTCTCCTGGAAGTGTCCCCATTGTGGTGGCAGAGAGGCACAGTGTGGCCTAAGCCACGCCCACTTCCTACCCTTGCCTGAGAGGAGTAAAGTCCTAAGACACTGGCCCGTCTGGGTGATGAAGTTTTGCCGACTCTTTCCTTCATGGGCCACATGTCAAGGCCAGGCTAGTGGGACAGTACTCAGACTGGGGCAGGGGCTCCTTGGAGAAAGCAGGAGTGGGAAGCCAGAGCTCCCCTGCGGTTCCCAGAGCAGGGACATTTTTCTCCTCAGCAGGGCATGCGAGCTCCAGGGTGCCGAGTAGTGACTGGCTCGCTGGTGCCACCCAATGGCAGCCAGAAGCACTGATCGTACCTGAAAGGCCACCCACATCCATCTTCTTGAGGTTCTTCGCCTCCAGGATGCAGACGGTGAGCTTCCCGGCCGTGGGCACGTAGCGCAGGGAGGTGCAGATGTCGCCCAGCTTCTCGGGCTGTCCGGGGAGAAGTGGGACTCATCATCTCGGTCACGCACTGCCTCTAGCATGACTGGCCTTGTCTTGCCAGCCTGGTCTGAGGCCGCCGTCCCCTTCAGCACCTGACCTGGGGGCTCTTGCTGCAGTTCATGCCACAGCCAGGTGGGGCTGGACACGTGGGTATGGTCAGGCCTCTGCCCCAGCCCAGCCGAGGAGGGCAGGGCACAACCTGGGTGAAGCCGACCGGCTGTTCCTGAGAGCCCGGAGACCAAGAATGTCGGAAGCGTCCCGCCCTGCCGCCTCTCCCCAGCCCCACTCCACTTGCAGAGTGAGTCCCACTTTTCAAAGCACTTTGCCCCCTTTTCTTTTGCTAGTGTCATGGCAACTCTCTCACGGAAAGAAGGCAGGGGCTCTTGCCAATGAGAAACTGAGGCACCAGAGGGACCCAGGGTGAGGATGCAGCACTCCTGACTCCTAAGGTCTCTCCCAGCACCTCAGGTTCTCAGTCCTGGGGACTGAGCGCATCACACCATCCTACTTCCAGTGCAGCACCCTGACTCCCAGACTTGCTGTGAGCTGCAGGGCCAGAGGGACGTCCTGTGCTTCTCTCCTTACCCCTGTACCACTGCCTAGCACCACTCTAGCAGCACCAGGGCCTTGTCCCGGACAGAGAACCAATGCTTTTAAGGAAGAGTAGCTGAAGTGAGTTCTGGATACACAGCAGGGCCTCAGTAATATTTGCTGAGTAAATGCACACTGTAGCCATCATTAGGACAAGCCCCCTCCTAAGAATCCTTTAGACAGAATGTGAACTTCCATGTGGGTAAACTGAGGCACAGAGTAAGGAGTCACTGGCCCTAGAAGATACCAGAACCTTTTGGATAACAAAAAGAATGGTCTGATTAGCTGACTGCTACCAAAGACCAGACTCTACATGGACAGCGCATCCTTATCTGTAAAGAGTCTAAAAAGGAAGCCCAGAGCTAAGGAGGCTCAGGGGACCTTGCTCAGGGTCAAGAGCTCAGTGGCGTGAACTGGAACCCCAGCCTGGAAGGCTCTAAAGCCCACCCTCTCTGCCAGGCCCCGGAGGGCCCAGGTGAGCGTCAGTGCACCCCGTTCTTTTGGCTTAGACCTCACCCTGTTCTCACCTCCTCCTTGGAACCCCAGCCTTTAGAAGGCTCTAAAGCCCACCCTCTCTGCCAGGCCCCGGAGGGTCCAGGTGAGCGTCAGTGCACCCCGTTCTTTTGGCTTAGACCTCACCCTGTTCTCACCTCCTCCTTCTCCCCGCCTTGCAGGTCTCTCCACTCCTCGATGGGCTGGCCGAGGTCCACGGTGTTCATGGGCACCTTTACCTCCCCGATGATGTCGTGTTTGGAGAAGCGGTCAAAGTCGTAGATGGCCATCACCAGAGTTTTGCCCCCCAGCTCCTGGTATGGCACCTGCAGGGTGCAAAGAGATCAGAGGGGGCTGGAGTGACTGGTGCACCTCCAAGGAATGCTGTGCACGAGTCGCTGGTCTAGGCTGGCCCACAGGCTTCCTGCTCCATCCTGAGAGGCAGAAGAAAGACCTAGCAGGGCTCCTGGGGAGCAGAGCGCGAGGTCAGCAGCGACCTTGCAGGGAGGCTGCATCCAGCCTGCCATGGTCCACGCTGAGCCCAGGGCCCCGGCCATGGCCCAGGACTAAGGAAAGATCTGAAGAACTCAAGGACCGGGAGGGACCTTCCAGGCTCATCACCTTGAAAGTGAAGGTCTCGTTGAAAGCCGGGTTCAGGGTCTTCCGGTGGACTTTGGTCTCGTATTTCTTCTTCTTGTCTGGAAGGAGGAAGACTTTGACGTAAGGGTCTGAGGTGCCCCCCATGTCCAAGGCAGGTAGCTCCGCAGCCTGCAGGACCCCCACGGTGAGCTGTGGAGAGAGGAGTGGAGGGAGGGGCCTGAGTCTCCACACTGCTCCAGCCCCAGAGCTGGCCCTGGACCCGGCCCCTCCAAGGCCTCCCTAGAGGTGACAGCAGGAGGGTGGGGTCAAGTGCTGACCAGAGTAAGGCTGGCCTCCACCTCCTGCCCCAGGAAGGTGCAGTGACACTGGGGTGCCTAAAGTTGAATGGGCAACTGATTCGTCTAAGTTTGGTGGGCAACTTAATCCAGAATCAACCTGACACCTTGCCCAACCTGACACCAGGTCAGTGTCCAGACAGCTACGCCCCACATCACAGGAAGCAGCAATACCCACACATGGGTGACTGTTCTACCCCCAGAACATCCCCAAGTCCCCACCTCCACGGTTCCCCCGGCCCAGCTCCCCACACCTGGTTGGCCTGGAAGTCATAGTCCAGGGAGAACTGCAGTTTGCCCAGGTTCTCTGGCTCTTTCTCCTCTTCTCCTTCACCTTCTCCCTCAGTCAGGCCTGTCTCTGCATCGTCATCATCCTGAAAGAGCTTAGAGGAGGAGGGACAAAGTGAATTAAACGGGAGAACAGCTGTAGTCAGGCTCAGCACCTGGGCAGCAGGATGCCTTCCCCTCTGTGCCACCCTCACTCAGAGCTGGGCAGGAGCAAGGGATGGAATGTGGCACTGCCAGGGGGCACTGTTGCCCGACAGCCCATCAGGATCTGGTAGCCAGATCTGGTGTGCCTCCCTCTTCCCCATGCGCAGCACACTATGAGGCCTGGCGCTCTGCCACATGCCCTACAGTGTCTTGAGGTAGAGGACTCGCTTTCCTCATAAGACGCCCCCCAAAACCAGTCCCAACCCAGACCCCACCCATGCTGGGCAAGACATACCAGAAGTGCGGTCCAGGAAGACAGGAACAAGATTTGTCCACAGCAGTAGAAAGAGAAGGAAGAAGGTGACATGAGAAAAAATCCTGCAGCTCAAACCAGTCCCTGATGTCACAGCCACTTGGGGAGACCAGGCTGGGCCAGACCCAGGTAGCTCACTCTTGGGACCTCACACACATACGTACACTGTAGGCTCCTTCTGGGGCCAGGTACACACACATGCGTGCACATACACACACGTGCACATGCCACATAAGCACTCAACTGCCACAAGACCCTGGCTAACCTGAGACCACCCCCCTCTGGCCTTCATACTGAGTCTTTAGGATTTCTTTGAATCATTCCCAAAGCAGACATGGGAATGTGAAGCACACAGGGCTCCTGTGAACTTAGAGGAAGACTTTGGTGTGATAAGGGACCGTGTGAGCACTGGAGATGTACTCAGTGTTGGCCTAACACGTGCAAGGCCCTGTGCTCAATCTCCAGCACTGCCGTAAAAGAAAGAAGAAAAGGATCTTTCTAGTATGACCAACACCAAAAGACACCTGTCCTTAAGGTTAGAGTAAACTGAGTTTTTCAGGGTTAGGGATGGATTCCACATGAACCTGTCTTGGTGGTGCAGGACCTTTCTCTTGCCTTCCCCACCAGCCTAGCCAGACACCTCCAAGTGGGCTCCTGTTGTCCCTCAGCCTTTTCTGGCAGGAGAGCACAGGATCTCCCAGTGGTGGCTTCCTGGTGGTGACAGTGGGCCATCTCTCCAGCACTTTGTTCCAATGGCCTCGATGGGGGTCAACATATTATTCCCTCCCCTGCTTTCCAAGGATGAGGTCATGCTGACACGTGCATAAGTCCCCTTCCCGCGAGCTGACCAGCAGATGATGCTAGACTTGAGGGGCAGCCAACAGGGCCTTGTGGAGTTTGCAGGAGGAGCCAGTTAGGCTGCGGGAGCCCAGAAGCCTTGGCTTTGCCTTTCAGCCTCAGGAGAGTCGGGCTGGGCCCTCCCTTCCCGCGCCCCAACACGGCCCGCTCCTACCTGACCGCCCTTCATGTCCTTCATGTTCATGGCGTTCTTCATGCCCTTGCCCTTCTCCTTCTTATTCTTCTTCTTCTTGCAGCAGCACTTCTTGCAGATGCAGAAGCAGCAGGTGAGGAGCAGCAGGCCAGCGACCACGGCAATGGCGATCAGAGCCCACGGCGGCACTGTCGGCGCGGAGAAGGGCCCCGAGTCAGCATGCCAGGCCCCAGCCTGAGCCCCGCGCGCTGGCCCGAACAGGTCAGGACTAGGACCGGCCTCACTGCCCGTGCTCCACAGTGCTTCACCCGCGGACTCGCGAGCGATCGCGTGTTGGCTGCTTATACCTTAGGTGCCTTTTCACGAGCGCCCTGCTCTCACCTTCGCCTCCGCCCTTGGTACTGGGGAGAGCAGGCAGGCTTTTAGGTGGAAAGCAGAGTTCAGTGTGACACTGGAGAATGGGCTCGTCCCACAGAGGCTGGTCATTCCTTATCACACCTGTTCACGGGAGCCCTGCTGCCCACCCTGGTGCCGTTATGAGAGGGCTGCCTCAGACAGACAGGCTTCTTGATGTTTACTGCTCAGGATAAGGAAGACTGGACCAGGCGCGGCTCGGGTGTGTGGGGGATGGGCCGGAGTGCTCTCCGTGGTCCTGAAGCAGCTGCTCCTCACCCCAAAACAACACCTGGACGGCTCCCACTCAGCAGCCTTTGCCAGCAATTCAGAATGCGGCAGAAACTTTTCTTTTTACTTTCTTATTTATTTTTTAGTACCGGGAATCGAACTCAGGACCTTGCTCTTGCCAGGCTGCGTGCTGTGCCGCTGAGCTATATCCCCAGACCCAGAAACGTTTATTTTTCATATTCCAAAATAAACTCGTTTCAAAATGTAACTGAAAGGCTGAATAATGATTTCTGCTTCGTCACTTTTCAATCTTTGTTTTTCCCCTTTGGAGGTTGGTGCATATCACCCCTGTCAGCACCTTCATTGGTTCCAGCCCCCACCGGCCCCCCATTCCTCAAGGGGTCCCCCAAAGAATCCAAGCTGAGATCCAAGCTTTAGGAAAGAGCCCAGCCTGGCTGTGCCCCCGCCACCCTGCCCAAGGCCCCATCCCCCTGTCCGGCCACTCACAGGGGATCTTGTTGATCTCGTTGAAGAACTTCTCCTTCAGCTTGGCGAACATGTCCTCCTGACTCTCCCCCGCGCCCCCGCTCTCTGTGGAGTTGGAGCTGTCCGCTGGGCCGAGCGGCATGGTGGCCGTGGTGGTGGCAGGAGCCACAATGGGCTCCTGGTTCCTCTTAAAGATGTTCCTCATAGTGGCTGCAGGGACGGCTGAGGAGGAGCGGGGAAGAGGGCCGGGTGAATATCCCAGAGGCCCAAATACAGAACGTGCCGCCCAAAGGACAAGGAAAAGCTGTTCCCAAAGCTACAGACAGTAATACTCCCTTACAGTTCAAATGTATTTTGCTTCATGCCAGCAACTGTGGAAAACAATAGGTCATAGTATGTTAGTACATATATACTCAAAGGCCATAAGAAGTGTTTCCCACACATGGGCTCATTTAACCCAAACACAAATATTATATTATATGATAGTGTCCCCACTGAACAGACAGTTCAGAGAGGCTGGGCGGCTTTCCCAAGGTGGCTCAGCTGGAAGTCAGAAAACTGATTTGAACAAGTCTACCTGGCTCCAAAGCCTACAGTCTGATGGATTTTCTGTATCCACATAAATCTAACCTCACCGTACTCCCAGGAGGGAGCCAGGTTATCTCCAAGGCTTCCCACTTTGGCCTCTGTCCTCCCTGGCTTCCATGACAACATCCTGTCCACCATCTTGGTTTCTGGAAACATGGCCACTCTGAGTGTCTCAGCTGCAATCCTCCTCTGCTCTCTGGGGCTCCCTCCCAGCACTGGCTCTGGGGTTATTTTGAACTCAGCTCTCTGGAGATGGCACCCAGATCACATCTCAGGCCCTACACCCTCCCTACAGCTGCTGACAGGTTGCCTTCCTCCTTCAAGGAAATGGTACTCACTAAGGACAAAAGTAACTCAAACTGGGTGTAGTAGAGCACATCTGTAATCCCAGCACGTGGGAGGCTGAAGCAGGAGGACCACTGTGAGTTCAAGGCCAGCCTGGGATACATACTGAACTCAAGGCCAGTCTAAATTACACAGCAAGACCGTGTCTCAAAAAAAAAAAAAAAAAAAATAATTCAAGATCCCTGCAGAAAGGTTGGGAGGAAGATACAAAGGCAGAGGGCACACAGGAAAGAGTTCTCCAGCCCCTTTGTTGTTCCATCCTGAGAACTAAGGTTAGCACTGTATGCCAGTTATTGTTCTATAGTTTACATATTAAGATCACACTATATGTAGTATGGTATTTTGCCTTTTTTAAACCCAAATTTTTATCGTAAGCCTTTTCTTTTATGATTAAGTTTTTTTTTAATTTGAAAGAGAAAAAAACAATAAAACAGTTTCAAAACAGGTTAGAAGAGTTACAATAATTAATACTGTTAAAATAATTAATACAATACTGCATATCACTGGTCTTTGTAGTAGGTTTTTTTTTTTTTTTTTTTTGAGTAGCCCAGGCTGGCCTTGAACTTGTGATGATCCTGCTGCCTCACCCTCCTGAGTGCTAGGATTACAGGTATATGCCACCTGGCTTAAACTTTATTCTTAAAAGGCTAAATAATATCCCATGAACAGTATTACCATAATTTGTTTATTCCACTATTAAATATTAGACATTTTAATACTTTCCAACTTTTTTGCTAGTAAAAATGCTGCTATACAGCTAGGGATGTGCTTAGTGCAGAGCGCTCGCCCAGCATGTGTGAGGCTCAGGGCCACCACCCCTTGCATACACGTACGTGCACGGGGGTGCACATTACAGTGAGCACAACTTTTGGTTTTCATTTAAGGGTATGTTCTTGAGCTTCCAAACTTTGCCCCAGCCCCAATCTCATGCTCCCCTCCACACTATTTCTGCTTCTCAAAGTAGGGCCAGTCCTCTAACTAAAGTCCCATGAGGGCAGGTGCTGTGCCTGCATCAGCCTCCATCCAGGCCAGGCCCATGGTAGGGTGCAGAGGGTGTGTACTGGGTGCAGCACACAGGGGACCTAGACATGGACACACAGAAGCACTCTGGGTCATGCAAAGTTACAACACATCTCTCTGAGGCGTCAGTTTTACTTAATGACAAATACTTACTGGGAGGCTGAGGCAGGAAAATCACTAATTAGAGCCCAACCTGGGCAACTTTGTGAGAGACCCTGTCTCAGAGTTTTAAAAAAAGAACTAAGGATATAGCTTACTGCAAAGGCTCTGGCTTCAATTCTAAGTACCACAAAATAATAAAAATTTTTAAAAAGCACTGAAATAGTACACAGCAGGATCCATACGGCATAAGAACTGTAAAGGGGAAACATGGGTATTTTCTCTTTACACAGGAAGGGTGAGTGAATTCCCCATTGCACCGTGTTCTTCAGAAGGAAGTTTCGGGAGCTCCGGAGTTCTGTGCTTCCTCTAAGGAGCCAGCTGAGCCCTCCGCATAGGGAGACTGGCTCCAGTGCAACTTGCCGGACACTCACCAAGCTCTTCCCCTGAGCTGTGTTAAACAGCCTCAAGCCCCAGCTTATCTTTAAATAAAGCACCAAAGCCTCTGGACCTGTTCTGGGGCTGCCGGACACCTCGGGTTCTTTGAGAGCCACAGTCAGCCACTCCATCCAAGCAAGATGCATGTTCAGTCTTTATCTTCTCGTCTCCCCTCACCCCCGCACCATCCAGGACCCCTGACCTTAAGAGCTTTATTGGGATGCAATTCATCAACCATATCACCCATGTAATTTACTCAGATACAGGGTACGGGTCAGTGGGTTTGGTATATTACAGTTGTTCAACTATTACCGCAATCTCATTTTAGATCATTTCCAAAAGGAAATGCTATACTAATTAGCAGTTACTCTCACCCCTCCCCTCCTCCCAGCCCTGGCAATCACTCATCTACTTTCTGTCTCCATAGATTTGCCTATGCAAAACTTTTCATATAAACTGATTCATAAAATGTGAGAGTGTTTGTTTAAAATGTGAGAGACCAGCTTCTTTCATTTAATATGATCTTTTTAGGTTCATCTATATTTTAGCATGCAACAATTCTTCATTCCTTTTTTATTATCAAATGATATTCCATTGTATAAATATAACACGTTTTTATTTACCTGTTTATCAATTTACAGATATTTGGGTTATTTTCATTTAGGGGCTATTTTGACTAATAGTACTATGAAAATGTATAAGCTTTAGTGTCAACATGTTTTCATTTCTTTTGGATAAAGATTTAGGAGTAAAATTGTTGTGTTATGTGGTAACTATGTTTGATATCTTAAGGGCCCACCAAACTATCTTCCCAAGGTGGCTGCACGGATTTATATTCCCATCAGCACTGCACGAGGCTTGCAAAATTCCCTGTATCCTGGACAATATTTGTTCATAATGCCTTTCGGTTTATAGCCTTCCTGGTAAGGGGTGAAGCGGTGTCTCCCCATGGGTTTCATTTACATTTCCCAAATGATTAATGATACCAAGTGCCTTTTTATGTGCTACTTGACTGTTTTCTTTGGAGAAAAGCCCGTTCAATTCCTTTGCCAACTTCTTCATTAAATATTTGACTTTTGATTATTGAGTTGTAAGATTCCTTTACATATTCTGGATCCTACTAGTTCCTTGTTGGACGGTGGAGGTGGAGAGGGGAGAGGGAAGTTTTGGCGGGGTGGACCCTCATCCTCTGTCCATGCTTCCACAGGAGCCAGCCACTCACCCCGCAACGGAGAGTGGGCTGTCTGATACCAGTGTTACCAAGTTCTCGCTGCAGTTCTAGAGTGTATGAGGTACCCTTCCATTCCTTTGAAAAAACAAAAGTTTTACATTTCGATGCTGCCCAATTTCTTTCTTTTGTTGCTTATGTCTTTAACACTGTTTCTAAGAAATAATCACATAACCCAAGGTCACCAAAATATACTCTTTATTTTTTATAGGACCTTTATAGTTTTAAATCTTACCTTAAGGTCTACAATTTATTGTGTATGATATAAGGGGCTCACATTCATTATGTGGATATACATTTGACACAGTAGCACTTATTGAAAAGAATATTCTTTCCCCTACTGAATTACCTTAGTACTCTTAAAAAATATGAGATAGCCATCAATGAGGAGCTTTACTTCTGGGCTCTTGGACCTAATGCTCTGATCTTTATGCGTATCCTTGTACTAGTACCGCACATCTTAATGAGTAAAGCTTTATAGTAAGTTTTCATATCAGGCAGAGTAAATTTTCCTACTTTACCCTTTTATTAAGATCATTTTCGCTACCCTTGCATTTCCATAGGAACTTTAGAATCAGCTTGTTTATGTAAGAAAACCAGCTGGGGGTTTTTAAGAGACTGTGCTGAATCTATAGATCAATGTAAGCATTATTGCTGTCTTAATAATATTGTTTTATAATATTTTCCCCATGTGCTTAGATCTTTAATTCCTTTCAATACTGTTTTGTAGTTCTCAATATACAAACTTTATACTTCTGTTATATTTATTTATAGGTATTTTGTTTGGATGCTAAATGGAATTTCTCTCTCTCTCTCTCTCTCTCTCTCTCTCTCTCTCACTTTTTTCCTCTTCTCCCTCTCATGGTGCTGGGAATGGAAGTGGGGCCTCAAGCATGCCAGGCAAGCTCTTTGCCCCCGAGCCACACCCCAGCCTGGGCCTGCTCTCACCCACTTCTGGTGGTTCATTACTAGCATCTAGTGTACACTGTTACATGACCCATTTATTCGTCCTAACAGCATGTGCGTCTGCGTGTATTCCCTAGGGTTTTATGTATACAGGCGCATACAGTGGACAGGATTTTACACCTCCCTTTACAAGCCAGATACCTTTTCCTTTCTTTTTCTTCCTTCCTTAACTGTGCTGGCTAGAATCTATGTCGAACAGAAATGATGAGATTGGGAATTCTTGCCTTGTTCCTGATCTTACGAGGAGAATGCTCTGTCCTTCTCTGTGAAGTATAACGTTAGCTGTGGGCTTTTTGTACATGCTCTTTATCACACTGAGCCCACATGGCCATTTGTTCTGGATTCTACAACCTAACCTCACCTTAGACTGCCAGGACCATGGCAGTGCTGTTCCCTCCTGCACCTCGCTTCCCACCAACTCAAACCAGTCACCCGTTCCTCAGGCCCGGAGCAGCTCTGGCGGGGCAGCGGGAGGCAGAAAGCAAGTCCCCAGGATACTACCACATGTTAGGAAACTCCAAGCAGATCCCTCTCCCTA